GCTCCGCAACAGGAGAGGCCGCAACAGTGAGAGGCCCGCGTACAGAAAAAAAAAAAAAAATGATAGCAAGGTCAACAAGGGTTATTGCCCTTGAGAGGCCCCGTTTAATGTAGGAGGAATATAGATAATGTTAGAAGCCCTGTAGGGGAGGTGGCTGCTGAGATTTGAGATTACTTGGTAAGAACTAAATAAATACAGATCTTCCTTAACTTACGATGGAGTTACACCCCCATAAACCCATTTGAAGGTGAAGATATCATAAGTCGAAAATGCACTTAATACACCAAACCCACCAAACATTGAAGCTTAGCCTAGTCTACGGTAAATGTGTTCAGAACGCTTATATTAGCCTGCAGTTTGGCCAAGTCATCTAATACAAAGCTTATTTTATAATAAAGTGTGGAATATCTCATGTAATTTCTTTAATATTGTGCTAAAGATGAAAAACAGAACAGTCTTATGGGTCCAGAATGGTTGTGTTTTGGATGGTCACCCTCGTGACCACGTGGCTGACTGGCATTGTAAGATCAAAAAATCGAAAGTTGGGAACATCTGTAGTAGCTGCATCTCAGTGGTATCTAGTAAGGCCAGAGGAGACTCCAAGGAAGAGGTGATAGTTGATATATACCTTGAATGATGAGGGCAAAGAAGAGGAGGAAGAAGAGGGGAAGATGTTCCAAATAGAAAAATAGCACAAAGATATGGGAACTGATGGGGTGCGTGTGGGAAACGGTGAGTGGTGTAAGGGCAAATTCAGATTAAAACTGAGATGCTTAATTCTCCTTGTTGAAAATAAGTGAGGAGATGTCTCCCATTTCTTTCCAAATTTCTTTCCCTGTCCCTTACAAATGAATGTAAATCTCAATAATGGCTAAATCAACCTCTCGATAGTCTCACATCTCACAACTCTGGGATGTTTCCTCAAGGATCTGGGAGCCATCTGTTTGAAATGCAAACATCAAGGGAGATAGAGCCCCATCTTTCAGTTCCTGTGGGAGTTTAGGAGCCTAACTTCCCTGGGCACCTTGCTCCAATTTGCAAGACTATCTTTGATAAAGATATGATAAGTTTGTTTCTCCTACAGATAAAGTCAACACAGGTGGCCTCCCCAGTGGATGAGAAAGTTAGGATGAACTCTGAATGACCACAGGTGCCGTCAAGTCCTCTTAGTTGAGGACTAGTTATTGTTTACCCCGAAAACAAGTATGGAATGGGTTGTATCTGTTTGATTACATAAGGGGGGTGAGATTCCTTTCTGTCTCTGCAATCACTTAGTGGGGTGCCTCTGATGCTCATCCTATTCCACTTTAATGTTCATTCAATAATAAAAATGTTTTCTTTCACGACTACCTTTGTGGAGAGAATTTGGGCGTTGGAAGATCTCATTTTTTCAATTTCCCCAACAGAGGTTTGGTTTGTCTGGAGTGTACAGGTTACAGAAGGCAGGGGAGAGATGAAACGAGAAGGTGAGCATAAGGCCAGAGCACAAGTGTGCTATGTGAGCAGGTCAGTGTTATTCCACAGGCAGGGGGAGGAGCTATGGGAGAATTTCAGTCAGGGAAATTACATAATGTTCGACTTTAGAAAAATGACTCCAGCAGTAACATATAGGGTGGGTTGGAAGGGAGAAGGGTCTAGTGTCATAGCACTGCATGTGGACACAATAATAATTGAAAAATACTAGTTAAGGGCTTTCTTAGTGTGTTACTACTCAAAGCTTATTCCTGGACTGGCCTTTCCCTAAGCCCCCTATGAATATCTGGATTTTTGTTTTGTTTTGTTTTGCGGTACTCGGGCCTCTCACTGTTGTGGCCTCTCCCGTTGCGGAGCACAGGCCCCGGACGCGCAGGCTCAGCGGCCATGGCTCATGGGCCCAGCCGCTCCGTGGCATGTGGGATCCTCCCGGACCGGGGCACGAACCTGCATCCCCTGCATCGGCAGGCGGACTCTCAACCACTGCGCCACCAGGGAAGCCCTGGATTTATATATTTTAATTTTTACCACAGGGACATTTCTCCAGGACGTGGAGAGTAGTGTCTTCAGGAACTAGACTATCTCTGATGATTTCCATCAGGAGAAGGGGAGTTGCTTATTACAGTGGTCTCTGCCATTGGCTGGTGCTGAGTTTATGATAAACGCTTGATATTCAGTGAGGTCCTGTACACCAGCCAAACTGCAGTGTGCCGGTTAGCTCAAATGCCTCATTTATTGGCAACCCCTGCTGGAAGCCCCCAACAGTTACCATTGATTCATGTGAGTTCAGGCTTTCCTAGTATAACAACCCATAAATGGATTTCGGCACCTGGGACTTTGTAAACAGAAATTGAGAAGAATCAAAACACTGTGAATGAACTGCATACACATTTATTAAATGGTTAACAAAGGCACATCAATAACCACTTACTATATATATATATATATATATATATATATATATATATATAACACAGATATGATTCTTAACTTCCAATTTCCTCAACAAAGAATTGTCCGACTCTTCAGGGCACGAAGGCTAAGGGCAAAGTCTCAGTCCTGACCTTATTATTCCCCGCCCTCTTCTTGAGAACTACGTTGATCTTCAGAGTTAACCATCATTTTCTGTAGCCATAATGTCTCTAGAAGCATGCTGACTGCAGAGAATCCTCAGGTTCTTTCTGCATTCTCAGGTCCAGTTCATGAACAGGCTGTCTGCTTTAACAGGTGCTGTCGCTACTGCTTGCTGCTATTCATCCAGTTACTCTATGATTTTTCACCAATTTCTCTCTTTGCACTCGGACATGCATGCTGTGCATTGAATCACTTATGGGGTGAAACCTCCCTCTCTCTCATCAGGAAAATCTCTGATTTTTCTTGCATCTATCTGTTTTGCCCCAGGTGTCCTGCCTGCTTTGCACTGCACTCTGTTTACGTGCAAAACACGAAAATGCTGGGCTGACCAGAACTTCCTTCTCATACCAATTGCTACATCCACTTTGGAATGGGGCATCTATTTGAAAGGACAGGAATCAAATCTCTGTTCCTCTCACAAACCTCACCTTTCTGTCTGGGTGGCTGCCCTTCTTATCAGTGGAGCCCTTGGCTTTTGTTCCCCAGACTCCCACTGTCCTCCTGCTGAAGGGAGAAGTCTAAGTCCAGGCACAGAAAGGAAAAGCTGGGAGGGCTCAGTTACATGGGCACTTCTAGTACAGGGAAGAGTCAAGTAAAAAGTCAGAGTATGTTGGATATTAGCAAGCACAGGCATGAGGCTACTCCAGAAATGTGACCATTTGTCAGGCCCATCACTCTGTTATGCTCTTTACTACAGAGGTGGACCATGGTGTGGATTCAGGTCTGTGGAATTCGGGGATGCTCAGTACCAAGTCAGTATTTTAGGTTCATTATGGTATCAGAACTTTCCTGACAATAACAAAATGACAGGAGTCTTCCTTTTTCGGCCTTCTTGATGTGGTGAATGACGGTACCACCCCTCCATGGGAATTTGGTTGCTGGTTAAATGCTGTGATTCAAGTGCCCAGATTTTTGCTTCACTAAAGCATTTCTCCGTCATCTACGCATGTGGCCGTCTGATATTTGAACACTGGAGAGTTTAAATACAAACACTCCCAGGAGGGGCCGTGCATTAAGCACTTCTGGTCTATAACACCTTAGTGTGATTTGTCTCTTAGCAGCTATGAGCTGCTCTCCGTAGCCTGAGATGCCCACCAGGAAAGTTCTGAAGGAAAAAAATCCATTATGTATGTGGGGAAGCAGGCCTGATAAGCTGCTACCATGGGGCTTCTAGAAGGCCAGAGGCCACCATGGGGGATGAGAAAAGGAGGGGCTTAAAAGGATGCTGGGAAAAGGCTGAAAAGTGTCAAGGTAAACTTGGTTGACATCTGGTTTTGCCCGAGTCAACTTTCTTCTGACCAATAGAAACTCCATTTTGATGACCATGGAGAATGCCTGCCCTGAATTCTTCCTTCTATCATTCAGCAGCTTCAGAGAGAGGGACATTAGCTGAATTCTTTAGAGGCTAAAGACCTCTTGTAAATGTCTATATACTGAACTGGTTTTAGTGCTGGAATTATGAGAGTCACAGAAACATATCAAACACGTCAAAGGGCTCAAAGTTGGCTAATCAGGAGATGCCACAGTGGGAACCACACTTAGAAATAGTCAAGCAGGGCACAAAGGGCAAGGGAGCTAGTAGCTCTGTATGATTCAGCTGATATTGGACAAGGACCCAACCTCCTCCCTGGCCCTTTTTACTGTTCTAGACACGTGAATAATACTTTACTCTGTTACAACCTCTCATCCAAAGTCTCTTCACATCACTTTTCTATCAGCCTGACTACTGAACAGCAGCGATATGGAGAAGTTCCTGATTAGTGTTTTTAAGTGTTTACAAATCTGACCGAATAAAGAATTATCAAGTTACATTTTGCTTTCTTTAAAGAACAAAACCGATTATCCGTTCATTCCTGTGCCATTTGTTGGAGATAACCAATTTTAAGTGAGATAAAACATTTTAATGGAAAAAGTCATGCATCCCGTTGTTATGAGACCATTGATGCCCATCTTGAAAAGAATAAAATGAATGACACTGGTTTCATATGTTACACTCAACATGCAGGATAGAAATGAATAATAGGAAAATACAAACTAATAATAATAATGTATCTTAGAATATGCCTCAGAATTTCTGAAGCATAATGGAAACCAGTAAGCGTTATCACAAAATTTTTAGTGTTCTTTTGCTAAAATATAAGTGTGTCTTTCTTGCGTTAATGACTTCAATATTATAGGAATAATACATCTAATACAATGGATGTATTAGCTATATAATTCAAAATACTGAAGGTATATATTTAGTAATAAATTTATTCTATGTATGAAATATAGCACTGAACCAAATCAAATCTTATATTAGAATTACTATTAGGATTACTACTAGAAGACAAATAGCTTTTAGGTGAACTCGTAATGTGTGAATATGGATTCATAAAAAAAGACAAAACCAAGAAATTTACACATTTTATTGATAGAACAAAAAATAAACAACATAGAAATAGCATACTAAAATGAATTGCATAATGCACACTTCTAAACACAAACAAGCAGTACAGCACTATAACTTGGAAAAAAAAAACCCCAAAATCAAAGCATCTGCCCTATTGATAGCAGTTGAGGGAATGAGCTATTGCATTTTGGAGGCAAAACATTGTGGGAACAGTTTACATTTATTAAATACAGGGATCATTATTTAAATCTATAAGTGTTGCACAGGGCTAATAATTTTCTTATTGATAAGTATTTTTAAATTGGCATTTTTCTGCCCAAAATATGTGCTTCCATTTTCTACATTATACTGGATTGTTGTTATACAAATGCATAAAATTAGCCCTTTAAAAGAGTATATTTTGGAGCATCTTTTAAAGAAAACTTATTTAAATTATTGTAATTTGGGGGCATGTCACAAATTGTTCATTTTCTAATAATTAAAGCAACAACAATAATAAAAGGAAACTTATTTTGAAAAGGGCAATCCCAGAGTCCAATGATATAATGGTCATGTAATTCTCTCAACTGCTAGACACAAAAGACACAGCAAGAAAATAATTTGGTTTCCATCATTAACAAACAGCATCTGTATACCGGAATAAAGCTTTGGAATCATGCAGTTCTGTGACAGATCAATGTTTTAGGTTGTGTGTTTGGGGAGAAAAGAGCACTGCTTAAAGTTGGGTTACTTTTAGGTCTTGTTACAGGGTTTTTTTTTAAAAATTAAAGTAATAATGATATACCTGTGACTTATTTCACAGTGATATGCTATAATTGAGGATGGGTTCTATTTAAAGATAAAATTCCTCTGGAATAACCCTGCTTTGGAGTATTGATGGGTGGTTCTCTTTCAGGAAAGAACAAGTGGAGGGGCTGGAAACTGAATTAGTCAAACTAAATCCTTTCCTGGGCTTAATAATAGAGGTCCTTTCATTCTCTAATTTTACTTACTTAAAAGACAGCACTGTGTTTAAGCTCCAAAGAGTGTGACATAGTGGCTGTCAGTATGCACCACATGCCATCAATTAACTGGTTATCTTTTGTGATACTTCTAGGTTCATTCTTACTATTTTATAGGTGATTCTGCCTGACTTAAAATCTTACTATATTTCTATTGACCTTATGAAAATATATTCGTGTGGCTTATAGTTTCACAAGGAAATGTCAACACAAGAACATGGGTTAAGTTGGGGAAATATGTTGGTGATAAGGTTAAAGTTGGAGTTCCTAACTACAGAAGGAGTGAATGCTTACATTTTCTATCAATGGAAATACTGGTCAGATGGTCAGGCTGTTAGCTGTATGGCTGACTCTATGTGGTTATGGGCTCAAGGGGGGGAATAAAAGGACATTTCTAACCAACTGGCCCTGAGCTATTGGACAACTGTAAGGCTTGGATTGCTTTCTGGCTTTGGCTTATTTTCCTGTCTCTGTAAGTGAGAACTATCAAAATGGGTAGCAATATTAATAACAACTCCCTCAATCCCAAGATGGGCTCCTTCTCCAGGGCAAGGACAACAGGCCTCAAGATGGGAAGGACTCAAAGCCCTCATGGTGATCTATCCTTAAACCTTTCTAACCTCGACCTTTTCTAGGCCTCATCGCCTGGAGGCAACAAAAAGATAAATGGTGATCTGTAGGTGATGTAGGAGCTGAAATTGGCAGAGATGATCTGATTGAAACATTCTTTTACAGCTCTGATGTACACAAGATTTTGGCTAGTTCTCTTCTGTTTCGTTAAAAGAGTAGGAGGCTGAAGTGGCACAGTGAAGCGCTGTCTCATCTGATAAAGGTAAGTCAGAAAACAGCCATTTCTAAAGTTGTGCCAGAAGCATTTTTTCCTTTGCTGAAGGGAATGAAATGCTCTGTGCTGGCCATACTTAACTGTTAAATTACATCTTTCAGTAGTTGTCAATTTGGTTTTGGCTTCTGGATCTTGAAGGGGGAATAGTGGCAAATGTTAGCAATTTGTCACTTAAATACATATTAATTGATGTAACCGATATATCTCAATCGACCATTTTCTGTGAAAGATGAAATCTAAGTAGATCAGAATGGGAATATCCATCTTGCAATTTACAACTCCTTGCAACCATTGAAAGAAGACCTCAGCCAGAAACCTGCTGCGTGTGTGTGTGTGTGTGTGTGTGTGTGTGTGTGTGTTTACAGTGAGGATTAATTTAAAAACAAACGATCTCTGCTAGCAATCTTGCTAAAAGCTGAAGTACCTTAACTTTTGTTTAGTGCCGTTAGCTCAAGTTGACCTGTTAACCTGTAACCAGTCTTGTCTTATGACGAGCCCTAGCAAACTAGAAAGCCTCCACAACAGCAAAGCAACATCATGTTTTAGTTAAGTCTTGTAGCAAAAAAAAAAAAAACCCTTCTTCTCAAAGCCTTAGAAATAACTCTCTCTTACTAACTTTTCCACTATTATCACAGACTTCTTATATCAAAAAAAAAAAAAGCTCCAAGGATCGCTCTCATGGACTATGTACATAAGTGCAAAAAAGGTGTGTCTCACACGTTCGCACCCTAACTGAGACCATCAGTTAACTGCAGCATATGTCTCTTCAACACTGTTATGGGGTCATTCCACAGTATCTGTATGGATGGTTTCACAAAGATGAATTAATTTAATCTGTGCTTTTGTCATTCTTTAACCCTCATTTGGATAGATTTGTAAAAGAGAATTTTTGTAGCTACAGCTATGCCACTTGAATAGAATGATTCTGAATAAGTAAGGTTATGGAAAGAGATCGGGGCATATTATAAATACAATTGTGTTTTGGAGTCTAAATACTGTGGAATAACCCTATCCACACAACAAATTCTATCAGCTCTAAAGCCTGATTCTAGAATCCAGATGTTGTAAACTTTTTGCCTAAAAAAGTCACACAAGGACACAAATTCAGTTTTCACATGGGAATTTGGATTAAAAAGAAAAATCCACCATATCTATTTCTGAGCTTTGAGCTGTATCTGCTACATGCTCACACTGTCAAAAACCACAGAGTTTACAAGTAAAATTTTCATGCACAAAAAAATGTCTAAAGGTAGCCATGTTGTAGGTTTGTTGCTAAAGCAACAACTAAATACAATTAGTTAAAAATTATTATTTGTATATAAAGTTAAGTTTGTTCTTAAACTGTGAACTGTAAGGAATAGTTATGAACTATACTCTATACCTTGTTGTTTTTCAGTGTCAGTTGAGGACCTATCTAGGCGGGTTGAATGCCTGTAGTAAAATCTTAAAGCTTCTCTAACTCTCCTTCAAAATTAAATTCATACTAATGATACTTAAAGATATGAAAAGGGAATAAAATAAAAACTTTGAAAAGTAAATAAGAAAAATGAAAATGTGGCACCAGTTAGTGAGTTGGTGCCCAGAACCTCTATTTGTCATTATATTTACAGTTTGATTAGGCTGTCAACTAAACTTGCAAAAAAAACTTGTCATACTCTTTTACATAGTGTTTATTCTATTGCCTTTGACAGGCACTGGTAAAATTAAAAATGAGGCCACTATCTTCCTAAATCTATTCAACAGAATTGGGAAATCATATTTCCCTCAATCATATTTCCCTATTTCTATTTCAAAGTGTGTGAAATGTAGAAGAGATCAAAGAAAGAAGATTCCAGTTTCAGTTCGTTCTGTGCATCACAGCCTACCCTACAGACTGAAATAACTTGAAAACGTGTGGCTGCATTTTACCTAAGAGCATCCTCATGTACTCTCCAAAGGAGTGGAGGAAGGACCAAATAACATTCCAAGTAGCACACAGGCCTTCCCTACATACTATTTAATAAAATTTGATGTCAATGCTGTCCTTAATCAGACATCACTGTGCTTACTGGTCATGCCATGAAAAAGAGATTCATGTTGTAAAGATTAATTTTATTTGGTTCCTGCTGATGGTAAGGAGGAGGTACTTGCTTTGCCCCCATTGGAGAGCTGGTGAGCTGAGGCTGCCCATTAGTGAACACAGCCTAGTGGTGTAGGACAACACTTATGGCAAGATCAAAGTGCTTTAGCGTGTTCAGAAATGGATGGCAAAGACTGATGGAATAGGGAGAGGATAGCTTTTCATATCATGATTAACTACAAATTAAAGACTCTAATTTAGACAAATGCAATGAAATGCGACAGCTAGTTGAAGAATCATGCTCCAATTGCAAAAGCAAATACTGCACGGATTTTATGAATCCATTTAATTTAACTTTCTTAATCCTCTTTAGAATATACTTATGTTGTGGTCACATAGTGCTTTAAAAAATTTGACACTACTAAAACCCTCTTAAAAGAAAACCTTTAGATTATTTTCTCTGTATACATGACCTGTTTTATCCAAGTTTCAGCACGCTTGCATATTTTGCAAAAGGCTGAGAGGAATGGAGAAAAACAATAATTTTGGATAAATAAAAAGAGGCCCTTGTAAATTAAAAAGCTTATAAAATGTTAACTAAGAATCACAAGTGATTAGAATTTTATATATACAGTCCATCCAGTAAATTGTTGTTTAGAGTCACTGATTAGTTTTGTGACTTGTCTTTTTCACCAGAAATTTATAGTCTAATGACTTCTTTTCTTTTCTTGAATAAAGATCACTTGAATAAGTCATTGCACAACTAGTTAAAGAGTGCTATCTTAAAATTGCATTTTTGTCAAAATTCTTTCACCTCTGATCAAAACCTTAGTGCTTTGAGTTTTCTTTCTTTAAATTCACTCACAAAGCAACTTTTAAAATGCCAACAATATCAAAAATTGTTGCACCAAAAATACCACTACCCTGAATATCTCTCACTGAACCTCTTACTAAAAAATACATCATTATTCATGTCTTCCAGTGCTTAAGGCAACATGCAAACAGCTGTACTCTAGGTTTATTGTCCATGTACATCTTTGTCAGAAGTTTAAAAAGTTAAGTGAGACAGTATGCTGTATCAAAATGTGAAATGACAAAAAAGTTCATTTCACACTGAAAATGTCTCTGTCTCTTTTAAGGAATACATCTAGAGTAGCTCAGGTGCATCCCTCCTGGATTCATGTGATCAAATCTGCCCTTCCTGAGAGGCACCAGCACAGGTTTTACAAAACTCAGTTCCAAACACAAGTAATTTCACAAAGGCATATTCTACTTTCTTCGCTAGCAATGTCAAGATTTTGGGAAACAGAAATTAAGTAGTTCAAAGGACCAAAAGGTAAAAGTCAAGACACCTCTTGCTCTCTAACTCCAGACAATACTGTTAGCAGATGACAATGGCTCAATACAAGCAAGACCATTTAGAAATCCCTGATGATCATGATTTGGATTGACAATTAAGATCAACAGGATATCAGCTACTGAGGAGTTAATTTTGCTCTTTTGTATTCTGAGCCAAAATGATCTGCCTTGGGATGGAGTCTCAAATGTTCTGAAGCACAAACAATGTGAAAAAGGCGAACAACCAGGAGTCAGGAGATATTTCCGGGTCCAGCTGCTACCAAGTAGTTAGGCAGCCCTGGGCGAATCACATGCCCTGGCTGTGAAAAGGTTTTGCCAGTCCCACTGTTCTGTGACTCAAACACTACTAGCCGGCTTAAGGTATCCTAAATCAGATTTTCCCTTTGCTTGTCATTTTCATGAAGGAGAAAAATAAACTTGGTATAAACATCAAATTTGATGATTTTATACTTTCCAGTGAGAGAACACATATTTAGTAGAAAATATTAAATCTATCTAAATCAATGCAAACTATCATATGGTTCTACCACTGATTAATAATAGTAACTTTAATTACTGAGTAGGGTGGAAGAAGTATGTGACATACCATGGGAATTAATTGCTATTTTACTTGGTTATACAATTACTTCAAAAGTATTAGTAATGTGAATTCAGGTCAGCTCTGTGGAGTGTAGCCACTCTGTCTCATCCAAAGGGTGTTACAAACCTCTCTATTCGCCTCTATTATGATTTTCAAAACATATAAAAACAAAGAAATCCAAACAAACAAAAAAAGAGGCTTGGTTATGATATGAGAGATTCTGCTGTTAATAAAGTTTGGGAAGGGCAACACTTAACATATTATATCACAGGCACTTGCTCCTTCAGCTGAACTGAGGCTAAAGACAACTGTGGACATCCTTCTTAGAACTTTTAAATAAATTGAAGAGTAATTTCAAATGGCTCCCTCCCTCCCTCCCCAGTCCCGCCATTTCTCCAAATCTATACTCAGACTCCAGCTGTGATGAACAGAAGAGACTGTCCATTTGGGGAGGAAAGGCCTCATTTGGAACCAATTCTCCTTCACCCTGACTGACTTTTCCAGACTGCATCTTACTTATTATTCAAAGAGTAGTCTAAAGAGCATAAGCCATTTGCATTCAGAAAGTGGCACTTGTATCAAAGGTTACATTGCAATGGTTTTTACACACTTTCCTCCAATATGTAAAAGCTAGCTCCAAGCCCCCTCTCTCTGCTTAATTTATAACCTGTCATTAGAATACCTTTAAGCTTCCAAGAACCAATTTTTCAGCTGAAAATGACAAATGGCTCAGTTTTAGACACTCAACCTAGAAGACAGGATCCTTGAGCCACAAAAAATGTAATGGGCACTTTACATAATTTTTAGTATATATGCTGAGAAATTCACTTAAAGGTAAATTCTAGTTTTTCAATCTACTTAAGGAGTGAAATTCGGGTTAATGTTTTAAGAAGTTCCCTGTTATTTTCAGGTAATTATTTCTCCCTCACAAAAAAAATCCAGTAATGTGATTGTACTATGCAAGGTCAGATCTACAGGTACAAATTATACACATGCATGTTTATGAACAGGTTTTGGACACACTCAAAAGTGAGGCCTTTTAAACGTCTGCCTCAAGAAACCTACAGAAATATTCTAAAGAGAGAGAGAGAGCATATCAACATTAACCTGTCATGTTTTTCAAGCACATGTGTTTCTGTTTCCCATTAATAGCATTTTAGTTAAAATCAAACACCACACATTACAGCAAAACACTATAGTATGTAAAAACCTAACACAACACACCACAATACAATACAATGCAATACAGTAATGGGGAAAATGGTATTGGATATATTTGTTACATTCTGAATCAAACCAACAGACTACTGTGTAAACAAAACAGTAAGGTAACACTTCCAAACAGACCGAACATTTATCCACCAAGAATGCACAATAAGCCAGCAGTCCACTGTAGAGATTCACTCAGCATAATGGTTATTGGAAAATCACAAAGAATAGTGTGATAAATTACAAAATGTTATGCTGTTCTACCTAATAATTCAAATAAGATAGACAGATGGTAGTTGTTAGTTTTCTGTTGGTGTTTTAACATCTCCATTGATTGTTTGATGCTTTGTTTTTTATTCGAATTTGTTGGTTGGTATTTTGTTTTGTTTAATATATTGACTGCACCATGCTTATTGTTGTGTTGGTAGAAGAGGACATACGTGAATATACATAGAAAGGCCATATGGAGGTTCTCACGGAGAGATTCTGATACTCCATAACTCTGTTGTTCAGAATTTCAACTGAAATGGAAGAAAAAAAAAGAGTGAGAAATATTGGAGGGTTATTGAAGTAGGGGTCAGGATACTTGGTTCTTGTTCCAGTTCTGTGTGTGAACCATATGCCAAGATATTCCCCACTCTGAATCTACGAAAATTGAGCTGTTGGAAATGCTCACTAAGGAGTCACATAGCATGACAGTCTGATCGTCTATGGTTCTCGCTGAGTGACAGTGTGGACAGTTGCCCTAAGTTAACAGAGATACACTCGGTTGTTTAAGGCACTGTCTACACCATGAACATCCACCCATCCATCCACTTCCTCCAACAAGCATATATTGACAAAACATACTGGATTCCATTGTGAAATATGCAAATATTAGACAAACTTTAAACTTTTTATCTGTATGTTTTGGAGCCGTGCAGGAATAGCCTAAGTGTGAATTCTCGGTATACAGTATTTTACAAAATTACATTTTTGCACTCTGGAGAAATTTTCAACATCTGTTACATATTGCAATGATTATGATGTGCCAAATACCTCTAAATTTTCTAATGGAATCAAGTAAAAAAGAATCACTATTCCCAAACATGTTCTGTTGGAAAGTTAACTATATTTGACCACTTTTGTTTACCTTGATGTGAAGCAGCCCATGAGAATCAGGCAAGTGTTTACAAAGCCTATTATTCTCATGTTCGGTGCTATTGCCAACTTGCCACTATCCAAAATGATACCCCTGAAAACTACTACAATATACAGCTACTTCAGTTATTCCGTGTACTCAAAGATGTCTTTTTTAAAACGCTCCTTATGATTGAAGGGACCTGTTATCTAATGTACAGCTATCTATATGCTCTGTCCAGAACAGTTAGTCTTCTGGGCCTGTGTGTCCTCAGCAGGAAAGAAATGCTAGCCAGGTTCTGGGGAACTAGTCCATCAAGAGAACAGAACTGTTGCCTTCTTCAACCAAGTGAAACACTCCAGGTGTGAGAACTTCAAGCTTTCAATGACTAATGGATGCAACTCAGAATCAGTGTATTTGTTTAATAACTCCCTATAATTATTAATTAAGATGCCTCAGCGTCTTGAGTGACTTTAAAAGTCACATGTTCCAAGTGAACAACTGCTCAAATTAAGTGTGTTGCCATTACGGGCTCTGGACCAGGCAAAGGAAATCAAAAGTGAAGGGGGAAAAATCCGAAAACAACAACAAAAATTACCAAAAAACAAGGTGCCATGATGTGAACGAAAATAATGATTAAATTACTAAATTATGTCACTCAAAATTGAAAACAGCTGGAGCAATTCTGCTAGACTTACATGGGAAGCAACACAATGTGGCAGAATGTGAAAGCGCTATTTTCCATAATGTCTTTAGAAAAAGCATACTGCCTACTGTCTTTAAGATAACCATCTTAATCAAATTGTGACAAAATTACTTTGCTTTATTTCAATTAAAATAAAACAAAGCTAGAAAAATGTTAAAAGATTAAAATTCAAAATCGATCTGTGCCTTTGGCTAACCAATCATACCCCTTTAATAATGGGAAAACATTTGGGAATTTGTAAGCTCATTGGGAAAATACAATACCAGCTGTCATTTTCATATTAAAAAATCACATATTTGCTGTCCATATTTCATTGTGGAAAATTTAGAATGCTTAAATCAAGCTCTAAGTTATAAGCAGTGCCTATTAATGAAAATATTTACCAAAGTCTTTAGCAAATGCAACTGTGTAGATAAAAGATATAACCTACAAATATTATATTAATACTTAAAGAGACTTACTGTTCTACTGGTAACTTCTACATCTGTGAAACAAACATGCTGCTATTCAGTTCATCTATTGATAATGGGGGTATCTATAGTAGTAAAAAAGATTTTAGATTAAAATAGTTTCTTGAGAGAATTCCATTTATTTTGTTCACTGCTTGGACATGGTAATCAATAACCGTAACCAATTTCACAGAAAAATTTAGACATACTAACCATATCCAATAATAGTTAACTTTGCGAAAAGCACAGGTTAGAATGTGGTTTGTTTCCCCAATGGATTAATGCTCTGTGTCCTAAATGTTTATCATACTTGTAATTGAAACAGCAGTGGAACTTGCAGTCTTTAAGAGTGGTTACCACTTTAACAAGGCAAAATGGCCATAATATTACACAATAATTATTGTAAGTATCTCCTTATAATTTCAAGACTCACCCCAAATTCATAATTTGCCTTGTGACTGCCTGTAAAAACCTCAAGCAAATGAAAATTAAAACAACACAAGCACATCTCATGTCGGTATGAGAAGGAATTTCGGATGTAATCACTGGGTAATGATAAGCATATCTGTGCCTTGGAAAGAAATGTGTTATCTTTCTTTCCAGTAGATCTAAAGGTAAAGGTGATGATAGTACTAAGTGAAAGTTCAAACGCAATAACCAAAAATGGTAGTCAACTAAAATAAATTCTCCTCTCAACCAATGAAGAAATATTTAAAAAATATTTAGTATATACCTTTGAGGATTGGTGTGGTAGCAACAAGTATATATATAAGAGGTCAAGAGTGACATCTGTAACCAATTAAAAAAGAACACTCTGCTGACTCATCTCAGGATGAGCAGCAAAGCAGGAACATCCCTCTAGAATATACACAAAAAGAGAAATTCTAAATGTAACAATGGCTAAAGAAACACTTAAGAATAGGGACTAATGTCTCTCACCAATCCCAAAAGCATATACTGTGCCTTACCAACACACCGTAGTTAGCTAGGTCTGAACAGGTGAAATAAATGGCCAAACCTGATTGATTGTAGCTGTTGCAGCGAAGGGAACGCTGGTGGCAGGTGGTGTTGCTGCAGACACAGTGGTAGGTGTAGCACCGTGCATCATGGGCACTTTCAGTAGGAAATCATGGAAGCAACACACGAGAGGGTGGAGCATTTACGTAACCGTGACATACACGATGGAATGGGGCGTGGCAGGTATCACAGCAACAAGCCATGTAACATCATCATGATGGATACACCAGGGTGCAACATGCAATCACAGTCAGTGCAAAGCAACACAGCATGGAAGGGGGAAATATTTAAAAAGAGAAAAGGGGAAAGCCAATTATAGTTACCATTAAGGAAAATGGAATCATTCTCAACATTTAGTTAGTTTTTGAGCAGAATCACACTGTAGTTGACTTCAAGGGCCAAATTTTCAGAAGGGGTTACAATGGGTACCTATGACAAATCTGAGTTTACCAAGGCTATCTCTGTGGACAGCTAGTCAAGCAGAAATCGCTATGAACAGCTAGTCAAGCAGAAAAGTAACTGGGTTGCGCATTCAAAACGGGAGTAGGGAACTGTGAATTGGTGTTTGGTTTCGCTAACTCATGACAGACATGAGTGCTGTCACTGGATTTGCAGGTGCAAAGATATACTTACCTGATCTGTATACAAAAAGATCGTAGTTTGCTTGGTGGGTATGTGGTAGGGGAGCAGATAAAGAATACAGTGGCCTATGCACGCAGGTTTTTCAGCACACCTCTGGCAAACCCCTTGCAAACTTAGGCTACTTATGAAACAACGTAGGCCATTTATTTATTGTTTCATAAACAGCCGAAATTTCCAAGGGGTACTTCATAGTAAATATCCGACAAAATCTTGTCTTCACTGCAATATTACAGCGACAATGACTAGCAGCTGCAACATCTCTTTCAGGCTGATTTCTCTTTGCCTTTTCTAGTTTCTATGTCATTTTGAAAGCTTCTGGGATGCTTTGCTTATTTCTAGCTCATTTTGGATAGCAAGCCAAGGAATTAATGTGTGAATGGCATGTGTGCATATGTGATCATTTGCATCTATAATATATCGATTGAGTTCAGATTTTCTGAAAGTCTACAGAGAAAGTGAATGGCCTGGAGAGAGGAAAATCAACACATGCAACGTCACACAAACCACAAATGTACCCCAAATGGTGATTAACAGAAACTCTGTAGTTATCTCTCATGCTCATCTCTAGTTATCCATTACCTATCAACATCCCTTATTGTAGCACATGCCAATTCTAAAAACACTCTTGTTTTCCCTTTGGGAGCACAACAACTGTGCAGAAAGCAGCACCACTGAAGCATGCAGTTTGCATTCCTACACTGAGCTCTTAGGTGAAAGGACAAGGGAGCAGAGTCACAAAATGGGAAGATGGAGACACATTTCACGAACTTGCAGAAGTATGCTCTTCTAATCATATGCATATGATGCTTCTGTTAGTACCAGTGGAAATGTTTTTAATTCTGACAGAGCACAGCTAATAACAGGGGCCTCACCTGTTAGTGAGTGCTACTACTATGCAGTTGTCATTTTGACCTTTTTGTTTTATCTTGATAAACCTGTTAGTCCCTTTTGGGCTCTGCATCGACTTTGGTTGACCAATGGGATGGAGGTCAAGCTGTTGCGAACTCTCAAAAAGGATAAAAGGAACTGGATTGATATGAGATGGTGGGGTGAGGTGGGATAATTCCTCCCTGTATGGAACAGAGCTATTTTCTCCTAGTCTGTTCCTGGTGCCCATGGAAACTATAGGAGCTGTGAACTCCCTAGGAGTTCTGAGAGGGAAACAAGTCCCTTTCCTTGTCTTCTTCAGTGTTAGTGATGTACAAAATGGTTTCGAGATGGCTACCATATTGGATAGGTGGCTAATTAAAGGATCTGTGTGCAACTGGTTATTAAAAATCACATACCCCCAGAGTCATTTTGAAATGATTCTGTGGTGCCTGGTTTCCGTGCAGATGGCACTTCATCCTAGAACACTATAGAAATCATCACAAAACACTACAGAATGCTCTAGCTTTGCTTTTTTGCAACATCTGAGTATTGAATGATTTTGATCTTATGGATAACTTTTTTTTTGGAGGAATTGTTGTGTTGTACTTTACAAATTATACATTTAAAATATTTTAAATATTTTACAATTTCTTAGTAACAGATGTAAAGCTAAGAATAAAACTGCCCATTCTGGCTAGATAAGGAAATGTTTCAAAATATTTCAGCTACTATTTTTAGGGTGAAAATACAGAAATGGCAGGGTCGGTATTTGACCACAGTGGCAACCAACTGTGAGAGTGTAGGACTGTTGTGATTCCACAAAGACATGTAACAGACAGCACCATATTAAACCTTAAATACTCAGAAAATGTCCAGCCACGTCATCCAGTTGCTTGTCTCCTTCATAGTCACAACAGAAAAACACTTTTTTTCAGACTGTAAAAAGTTGAGAATTTTTGTACAAAACCTACCAATACTTGAAGCAGGTACCATGCACAGTATTGGCCCTGTACACCATGCAGAAAAGCGTGCAAAGTAAAGAAAAGAGATATTTCATTATTGAAGTTTTACTGATAGAAATAATTTCTAACTAGAAAGATATTCTTAGCAATATTAATCAATCAGCACATGCATATCCAGTAATCTCCCATGCTCACAATTACAGCTTAAGATCCCAAACCCAGGTAATCAAAGTAATTCTTGGATTCTTAGGTATAAAAATGAACATTAATTTTTCTTTAAAGGTATTAGCTCACTTAAATTACATATTTATTCTGGACGAATACATCCTAAGTGATTTTTATTATGAAAGGAAGAATTTTAATTTATTATACAGACAATTTTCAAAATATGCACCAGGATCTGGCAGCTGGTGCCAATAAGTTGTACTTAGGGCACTAATCTATTATCATTGCTTTCTCCACCTCTCAACCAAGGACTTGACTGTGAACATATGGCAAATAGGCTTTTCATCAAGAGGGGGCTCTCAGCCTGACAAGTTTTTCTTTTGCTATTAATTAAGGAGAAAGGGTTTCTTCTGATGTTTTTGCTTGTAAATCTAGATTTTAAATTAGCCAAATCCAGCCCAACAAGTCTAAAAATTGTGTTTTTAAATGATATCATGAGGAACTATTGTGGTTAGTTAACTAGACAAAAGACTGGATTTTTATGGCTTCTTTCAAAATTAATTAACTGATTAATGTATCAGTTAACCAATGGGTTTCTTCAAGTCCAGGCATACAATACCATGTGCTTAGTATGTTTATAATTAACAAGGTTTCTAAATTAATTTTTAAAGCATGTAACTTTCATTTAACAGTTTCCAAACTGGGGCATTTATGATTCTGACAAAAAAAAAAAAATCTACCATACTCCCAGGGGTTAGTATTTTCAACTTATTCCTAAGAGACTATATGCTTGTTCTTAAAGTACTGAACCACTGGAAGAAAAGTAATTCCCCTCATATATGATATTTGTTTGACCTCAGCTCTTCTGCTTCTGGGCCTGCATGAATGCTGGTTTGAGACCATATCTGGTCATGGAAATAATTTCATTTTGCCAGCTACAAATCAACCAGCGGCATGTGGGATCTTGCCGGACCAGGGCTCGAACCCGTGTCCCCTGCACTGGCAGGTGGATTCTTGACCACTGTGCCACCAGGGAAGCCCCCTATGATATTTATTTGAAAAAATTATGGCTTAAATTTTTCTTTTCAATTTAGTGCAAAACTGTTATGCTATTAAATATAGTTGAATGTAGGAGGTAATAAAATATGCCACAAAGTGTCAGGAAAATGTGATAAACTGCTATATATTTTATATTAACTGGTTTAAGAGTTAGAGGCTAAAACTACCTGTTTTAGATATATACTACACTGTATTATATTGTAAATGCAAGGGTAGTTTTATTATAACTATCTTTGGCATATCAAAGATATATGGACTACCTATTTTTGCAATGCTGAAGCTTGGAAACTTCCTTTTTTTTTTTTTTTTGAGGGCAGACCATTGTCTTTGAAAGTGATACCTAAGAATCAAGGAATTAGTTTGAGACTAAAACAAGTGAATCAAACATGAGAAGCAAAAATTAGGAAATGCTCAAAAGAAAAATGTTGACAGTGTTTCCTAGTTTGATTTCAAAACCATTAATTTTCAGGAATCATAGGAAAACAGTTTGTTCAGTATACAAACAGATTGAGCATAGCTGCCTTGTTTTATTTCTAACCACAATATCTGTTGACCGTTCTCACATAAATGCTCTTTGGAAGCTGGTGGGCACTGTATTCATTCGCAACATCAAGCAACTCATGGTGCCCAGAGCCCCGTTCTCACCTGCAGGGATAAATGCCGGCTGCGGGAGTTGCAGGTTAGCCAGAGCCTGCTGGCAGTGGAAAACACTGGGATTAAAGACCGGGGTGGCACCATTGGTCTTTTCAAGTGCCGATCTCTTTGGTATCAGTTGAAGTGCACCGGGCTGCAGGGCCTGTGAGGGAAGGGTGGATTAATAAATAGTATTAAGGAAAGTAAAATATGTACACAAACCAAGCAAGCAGCAGTTAGATAAGGTCTGGCCTGGGAACCCTTTGCAAGGGTCGCCATTGAGCAAGGTAACCAACTTCAGAGATGAAGCCGTTGACTATATGAGTACATACTCAGTCCAAAACAGAAAATAAACATACAGGTTTATTAGACAAATTAATGAAGCTGAAAAGGACCTCATCGTGTGGGCTGGATGTGACAGGATGCTGTTGACAGCAAATAATCATTTAAAATTAACATCTAAAGGATGCTCATCTCCTAACCTATTAAAATGAGATTAGCAGAATCAACAGATATAGCAGGAAAGAAATTTTTGCCAGTTACAATTCCAATATAAATCTAGGAGATAAATGGTATGTAGGTGAAAAAACAGATGTCAGTAGATCAGAGTCTAAAGCTCCAAAATCCAAAATTCAATTTATACAAGGATTTCAGGTCCAAACCCTATAACTGTATATTTCCCAACTAACATGTAAGGAAAAAGCAAATGCATTAATCTGCCCCTGCCACCTCACCCAGATACCATAGATAGTTAGCAAAATGTATGCAATTCTCACTTATAGAGACTTGCTGTGCATTTCGATATGCATTGCTTGCTTTGTTGTAAGGTTTAATTCTGAAACCTCTTAGCGTTTTAAGATCCTCCTTTCATGTCTACAATTCTTTCAAAATCCCACTGTGCTTAAAATATTCAGTCAAAGCTCCCCCTGGATCAGATTCATTGGAGAAATTTGACATTACTTTACATTTTTTCCTCAGCAAATTGCACAGTACTTAAAAAACTTGTCCCAGCAACAACGATTGGGTATGCTCCAAATTCTTAAGGAGACGGGCACACTTATGCTGAGTATCTAGCCTTCCACAAGCCGAAAAGGGGCATGCCATGACCTCCTTATTCCTATGGACAAGAAGGCCTAATGATACCTCTATTTTCATTTGGGAAATAAATATCACCCCTTCAAGTCTTTCCTTTTAAATGCATACAAGCTGCTTTCAGTAAAGTCAACCTGAGCTGCGCACATGAACACGAACGGGGTAAAAATCTCTGCTTCGCAAAGCATTTCAACTCTGAATCTTTAAAATATAGAAAGCTTAAATTTCTTCATGCAGCCTCCTTTGTTTAATCTTACCTCAAACAAATTCCTATGGGCCAGTGTTACTTTACCTTTAAGACGCTGCTCTGATCAGCCACTCAGAAAAGAATTCTATATTGACGTTCAAAAGTACCAGTTGAAGACCTTACTATATATAGTATGTTTAACTCTCTACATGGAAATTTGGGGCTGACTTATATGCATTCTAACAAACACACCAAAATCATCAGAAATAGGCACATGCATACGAAGGCTCCATGACTGAGCATTGGACAGGTAGGTACACCATGGCACAGGCATGGTATTCCTTGTACATCCCATGCATATGAGAACCTTTATTTTTAGGGGGCCAACTGTATTCCTCTCCTTTACAATAGGGTGCGTTGTTTCTGAACTGTATGCCACCAACAGAAATAATCTAACAATTGGAGGCTTAAATTCTGCATTGAATATTCTGGATACCTTCCTATTTTCATAGCTTAAAATTCCCTCATTCAAAATAATTTAAGACAAAAGATATTTGGTGAAGTCTTTTTTAACGTTCATTAACAAATTCTGCTGTCCAGATCAAGGCAGAAAATAAGTTTGTTCTATTTTGGTACTCAGCTCTTTCACAAAGTATTGGGTTCAGTTCTGAGAGAGCAGGGGTACTGAGAAAGAGAACAAGTCCAAATTTGGGGTGTTTGGCTTAGGGAAAAGACATGAGAATCAGGCTCCTATGAAATAGGGATTGGCATGTTTTGCAATAAACTAAGTGTAAGTTCCAGTTACAACAAGGTAGATTTTAACTTAGTATGAGGAAAACCTTCTCAACAAATAGGGATGTCTGAAAATAAATGTATCTCTCTTATGAAAAGGAAAGGTCTCTGTCATGGGCTTCAGGGTCATGGAGGTGATTTTTTTTCCACAGCCAGGAAAAATGAGGTTTCCTCAGGGTTTTGTCCCTTATTGGGGTTATACCCTATTACATGAGGAAAAGCCCAGACTATAAAAGAAATGAATAGCCCACAGCCTATCAAAATAGTTGACAGCTGTGACAAGCGTAAGTAATCATAATTCCTATTTTTTAACCTATCACACTATAGTGTTATGCAAATAGTTTCCTACCTCCTATCTTTTCGTGGTTCAGTAGGACTAACTTTTCCCCCAAATTTACTTACTAGGGCAACTCAATAGGCAGACCTCTTCTCCAACCATGTAGAAATTCCCCACCCCCAGCCTTGGCTGGCTGCTGACTTGAAATCATTAACCTTTGGGAAATTAGAACCTATTTTCCACCCCATCCTCCAAGTCCTCTGTTTGTGAAAGGCATTAAGGATGTTACCAGCAAAGTGACCATCTAGGTGGCTCACGGGGCAGAAAGGCAACTTTCTGCCTTTTTACGATATTAAGGTTAGTTAGGCTATAAAAACCACTCCAAAATAATTTACTGTTTAAGTTGTATAATTTACTCTTTCTTAAAAAATGGGAGAAAAAGCACAGTAAGTTAAAATCATTAGGAAAGATTTTAAATAGTTATCTTTAGAAAATTTCAGTGAACTAGAATAAATAGGTTCTCTCTTTTCCAGCTTATAACCTGGGCAATTCATTTTAAGGTCCCCTCATGACTATCCAAGATCATGGTTCCAGGATATTAGACAAATTGAGGGATATAAGAATCATTTATCCCCAAACAGTCGACGAGTCCTGGCCTGTTCTTACCATGGCAGTGGCAGCTGAATGGTTCATCTGGTGATGAGCTGCCTTGAGTCTGGCTTGCAAGTGCGCAGGAGGATGAAAGTACTTGCATTTCTCCCGGGAGCACCGACCTTTGATATAATCCATGCAGATGGTCACGGTATTATCACTTGCCTCAATCATGGAAACATCAGTAGGGTGAGCATAGCGGCAATCGTTCTCACCACGGGTACAATTTCCACGCTGAAATTCACGGCAAACCTTAAAGAAAAAAAAAATCACATTGATGCTTGGAAGGTGATTAGCTTTTACTTATTTTGCCAGTGAACGTATAAGAGCAACAGTATACATTCTTTTGTCATCTATTTAGGAAAAATTCTAAAAGCTGAAGGATAATGTCGAGCCATATTCACTATGAGATGTAAACCTAAACAAAATTTCTATTCCGAGGAAGAAAAACTCCAATCTTCCCAAAGGAAAAGTTTGTCTGCTTTCCTTACATTGAAATGCAAGTATCGTTGAAAACCAGTTTTTAATCCTCCACTTGATACACAGCCTAAAGTGTAATTAGCTAAGTTTGCAAGAGGGGGTTATTTTGTTAAGCTCCAAGATGTGTCTTTATCACACAGCAATGTGCTTTCTTTTTTTTTAAATTAATTTATTTATTTTTGGCTGCATTGGGTCTTCGTTGCTGCACGGGGGCTTTCTCTAGTTGTGGCTAGCGGGGACCACTCTTCATTGCGGTGCGCGGGCTTCTCATTGCGGTGGCTTCTCTTGTTACGGAGCATGGGCTCTCGGTGCGCGGGCTTCAGTAGTTGTGGCACACAGGCTCAGTAGTTGTGGCTCGCGGGCTCTAGAGTGCAGGCTCAGTAGTTGTGGTGCACAGGCTTAGTTGCTCCGCAGCACGTGGGATCTTCCTGGACCAGGGCTCGAACCGTGTCCCCTGCATTGGCAGGCAGATTCTTAACCACTGCGCCACCAGGGAAGTCCGGCAACGTGCTTTTTACAAGCAGACTTGTGGACCATGACTAAATGACATGCACAGATTCCAGTTCAATACATGGCAAGGCATTTAAGGAGCTGCCAATGGAGCTGACTTTTTGATTATTCTAGCAAGTAGAGACTCATCAACGAATACAGTAATCCCACTCTGCAAAGCTGGAGCCTGGCTGAAAGGAGCATTCCCACCAGACTTTCTGCGCCATAGCAAAGGAGATGCACAGTCTGCAGCTGGGTACACTAAGACATTGTTTGACCTACTATACAACCGTGCACTTCATAACAGGGTAAAATTGCAGTAATAAAATGTCTAACATTTCTCTGAAGTTATATTCCATAAGCTTAAAATTCAGATGTACTTATTTAAAGCATTGAAAACATTGGGCTCTAAGAATGTTTATGCATAAGGTTAATATCTACCCCATAGGGATTTATATATTTCTACACAAATACCTCCAGTTTATCTGAACGCATCGGTTTTGGACCAGGAGCTCCTGGCAGTGGGAGAGGCGGGTTTCCAGAAATCAGCACAGGTGCATTTGGTAAAAGTTCGGCAGGGACCAGGCCCATCCCAGGATGAGGTAAGTAGGGATTGAAAGCCATGGCAGGATTAGCTGCCAGGGATGGAGTCACAGGAAAAGAAGTCTGTATGATTAAAAGAGAAAAAAAGGTGTTAGAGGTCAATAGAATATTCCTATTATTACACAAGGAAGCATTCTTTCAAAAAGCTCAAGTCATATCAAAAGTTACCATTGTATTTTCTGCTTTATTTCTAGTCTCATACTAATTCCCATAAAGGAGGAGTTCCTTTTAAAACCACAAATCTCTTTGAGTAACAAATTTATTGGTAAGCTGATAAGCCAAGCCACATAATTTTAACAGTCATAAGTAAATTAAATCCCACTGATGGAGTCTGTTCCAAATGTGTTTCCTCTAGCACTTCCATTTTTACCTAAAAGCCATGTCACCAACGATATCAAATACGTGGGCAATCTGCCTTATCTCCTCACACAAGCATGGCCTTTGCACACAGACTTCAGGTTCTCCCCCTTCATCCCACCCTCTTCCTTCCCTTCCCCTTCCTCGCAGTACTGCTTGGCTCCAAAGCTGTTGGTCCTACCATGGTTCCCAACTGCCCTACCAAACACTTGCTTCTTGGCCCACTATCAATTAAGGAAGAAAGCAAGAAGGCAGGAAGAAAGGGGTAGATTTTGAAAAGTGAGAGCTGTAAGAGCTTCTTGCTGTCTATCTAAAATGAAATTAGTACGGTCATTTTTTTTTAGAGGTCTTATTTTACAAATGAATCTGACTTGCCTAGCCTTGTCTTTATCTGAGGGATCAGATGATGTGCACAGTTTAAAAGGGGGCCCTGAACATGCTACGAGAATCCCTATTAGGCAGGAAGAGATAACAGGATTATAAGGTACATACACTAGAGTATAACTTGTAAAGAAAAGTCTTGGAAATGCAAAGGAATCTTACTGGCTTTTCTATTTCTTTTTTATTAACAGGTTATTTTATTTGACTCAAATCTTATTGTAAACATCACAAAAACTGTTAATCTCCATAAATACTCAACCTTTATGGAGACAACAAAAAACTAATTTAGGCTAATTGAAAATAAATTCTGAACTGACAAATACATATAATGTATGGTAACACAGCATAGTTATAAACACTTCACTCTAGATGATACACAGTTTTGTTATTAATTCCCACTTAATCTAAATGGAAATTATTGAAAACTTTTAGTCAAATGTTTGGTTTCTCTTTTTTTTTGACATCTTTATTGGAGTATAATTGCTTTACATTGTTGTGTTAGTTTCTGCTGTATAACAAAGTGAATCAGCTGTACATATACATATGTCCCCATATCTCCTCCCTCTTGCGTCTCCCTCCCACCCTCCCTATCCCACCCCTCTAGGTAGTCCTGATCTCAAAGAGTTTCATATATGTACTGCCTTTATTATCTGTAACCACATAATTTATCACTTTACTGTGCTGTTTTCCAGTTTGTTCCCTATGTGGGTGTCTTTTCTTCTCAATGTGGTCATAATTTCTTTGATAGTTCTCTTGTCTCCCCTATAGTACCCAATATATAGTGAATGACTGATATAATCAATGACATAATTTAAAAATAATGTAAGCATTTTAATGAATGAATAACAAATCATGGTTAAATATAGTACATTTCTAATAGTGACTTTATAAGGTAGGTAGCGCATTGTCATGCAAATGGTGATGTCTCATGTATTACTAATAGCATTGTTCTTTCTTGCTTTCTTTTTATTTCTTTCACTAAAACAATAATCTGTTGCACTGCCAAGCTATGCCCACACCTTCTGCTAAATCACATTAATAGGAACAGCTCTAAATGCAGGTAGAATAGAAGTCTATTGAGTATGAAGTGAGGGGCGATCTATATTCATGGCGCCACTCCCTAGTCGGACTTGAAACTTTCAATAGCACAGCCTTCTCCGTGAAACCCGTTATAAACAACATTCAGCTTGGAAGGAAGGACTTCCCCATTAGCACTCTACCTTAGATGAGTTTATCACTAGCTAACTGGCAAATTTGGAAGGGCAGAAAGAGCATGCCCCCTCCTCCCCAAACTGGCAAGACTCACCAGGGTTAAGCAGAGAAGGCATGGTGGCCAAGAGCTTTAAGAGGAAAGGGGTGACGTCAGGTGGCAGGAAAGATGATGGGGCAGTCAGGGAGGTGCTTTAAGGTTTGAGGACAAAAGCTAAGGGCTGACCCAGCCTAACTAGCGCTGTGATGTAACAGGGAATAGGGACATGTCATACTTCTCATGGAATGAAAACTATTGAATTAAAAGGAAAACTTGCAGGTGAGTGAATTTTCCAGATTAAAAAAATCATTAATCACTAATAAATAACCGATCAATTAATAATATTTAAGAATAATGTACGTGTAAGCAATGCTTCCTATTTATAATAGCTCTGAACTTCTGTATTTTTTCCTTCCTTTTTTGGGGGAAATTTCCTGGTTAACTTCTGCTTTCTTTAGAATATGTTTTAACCCTCTCACGTTTGTTATATGTTCCAATTGTATGAAAACAAGCTGAAAATGAAAAGTCTATATAAATAGTGCAAGGGACTTGCTGGAAAAGTTTAGGGTTTGTAAGGTTATACTGTGCCATGTTTAGGTTTTAAAGTTAGTATTGTAGATTTTATAACCATTTTCCTCCTTGGTATAAACTTCATTCTATAACTCTGTTTATTGAGAAGAAGCAGGTTTTTTTTATTCCCAACCCTCGGGCACAGGGAGGAACTCCTGAGTTTCTTATTTATTTTCAAATGGACATTTCTGTTTCTCACCACCACCTCTGCCCCAGGGTAACCACTCCATTTTCATGAGTTTGAACATTCAAGGGCTTAGCTTTAGTTAACAGCCACCTGTTATATCAGGCAGCCTGCAAGTTCACACATTCAATTTTAATAAGCGACTTTAATCCTTCCTATACCTGTATTGCAGCCTTTGATGTCAGTTGAGCTAACATGAACCAATTAGTGGGGTAATCTTAATATTAAAGAAAAAGGTACCTAACAGGTTGAATCTGATTTCTATTTACAACCTGAATGGTCTGGGCACTTAAATATGTTTCAGATATTCACTCAAACCTAAATTATTTCCTAAATATTTGAAAATATGAGAAAACTTTCCCTCCTAGAACAGGGGGTATGGATTTTCATCTTTCTCTGAGAGAGACTTATAAAGCCAACAAGAATGATGGCGACAACTGACTATATGAATAAAACGATCACCTAGACAATTATTTACCCTCAATGTCTCTTGCAGTATTAGCTGCTAGGGTAGGAATTCCCGCGAGCTACCAGTTACTTGCACAGTACCTAGGAACTATCAGGGTCTTGGGAAATGCTTTCTAAAATTTGGTGAATTGCCTCTAGAACAGAGGCACCTAATCTTTTTCAAGTCCTGAACTTCTCTGAGAGTCTGATGAGAGCTGTAGACCCTGTCCACGGAAAAATTCATATGTGCATAAACTGCATGTGATCTCAAGAAGTTCAAGGACCTCACGAAACTCACCCCTGGTGTGGGGTTATGGACGACCTACTGTTTAAGAGCTTGTGTTCTAGGGTAACGGTTGGCAAACCACAGGTCCTGAACCAAATCCAGCCTGCCCTGTTTTTGTATGGCCAGAATGGTAAGAGTGGTTTCTACATTTTTATTTTATTTTTTTTTAATTTTATTTGAATTATAGTTGATATACAATGTTGTGTTAGTTTCTGGTGCACAGCAAAGTGATTCAGTATATATATATATATATATATATATATATATATATATATATACACACACACACACACACACACATATACTACTTTTTCATATTCTTTTCCATTATGGTTTATTATAGGATATTAAATATAGTTCCCTGTGCTATACAGTAGGACCTTGTTGTTTATGCATTCTATATGTATTAGTTTGCATCTGCTAGTCCCAAACTCCCAATTCAACCCCCCCACCCCTCCCCCCTCGCAACCACAAGTCTGTTCTCTATGTCTGTGAGTCTGTCTCTGTTTTGTAGATAAGTTCATTTGTGTCACATTTTAGATTCCACATATAAGTGCTATCATATGGTATTTGTCTTTCTCTTTCTGACTTACTTCACTTAGTATGATAATCTCTAGGTCCATCCATGTTGCTGCAAATGGCATTAATTCATTCTTTTTGATGGCTGAGTAATATTCCATTGTATACATATACCACATCTTCTTTATCCATTCATCCACTGATGGACATTTAGATTGTTTCCATGTCTTGGCTATTGTAAATAATGCTGCTATGAACATAGGGGTGCATGTATCTTTCCAAATTATAGTTTTGTCTGGATATATGCCCAGGAGTGGGATTGATGGATCATATAGCAACTCTATTTTGTAGTTTTTTGAGGAACCTCCATACTGTTCTCCATAGCGGTTGTACCAATTTACATTCCCACCAACAGTGTAGGAGGGTTCCCTTTTTTTCCACACCCTCTCCAGCATTTGTTATTCTCTACCTTTTTAAATGGTTGAAAAAAAGTACAAGATAAGGTAATATTTCATAACACATGAAAATTATACGCAATCCGTGTTTCAGTGTCCATAAATAAATTCCACTGCACTCACTCATAGACCTATATACAAAAAGTGTGGATATCTGTTTTCTCTCTTGTTACAGAAGTACCTACATAATATCCTCAACTTTGTTTCTTTCCCACAAATCCTCAAATACTTTTATTAGTCATTTAGAGAAAATTTTGCTGACCCTCATTCTAAAGGATTGCAAAAAATAAAGCACTCCATCAATTTCTGAAGTAAAGCACTAATTATATAAAAATCTGTTGGTGTGAATTTAATACTTGTAGCAAGATTCCATAAGCTGAAGAAGTTAAACTTTAGAAACAGATACTAAAGTATTCACTAAAATGTTCTTTTACATAGTTAGTAAAATTCATGTTCTTAACTATTTGTTTATAAAACAATGACTACTCAGTGACTAAGAATGGGGAGATAGATGGACTCCTGTAAAGGTAAAATTTTAGGAGCCACCACATTTTGGCCTTAAAGGATTCTGAAGCACCTCTGAATAATAATACAACTCAGTGAAAAATGATGCCT